TGTGTGTGTGTGTGTGTCTGTCTCTCTGTGTGTGTGTGTGTGTGTCTGTCTGTCTGTCTGTGTGTGTAGTTCATGCAGAGAGGTTTGGACGCAGAGCTGAAGAAGCAGCTGGATGAGGAGGAGAAGAGGATCATCAGTGATGAACACTGGTTCCTGGACCTTCCTGAGCTCAAGGCCAAAGAGTGAGACCTGACTGACATCTCACTGATATCCTGTCCTCAGAAAACTATATTTAGATTCCTAATGTCTTAATAGCATTGTGTGACGTAACAAATATCTATGGAAGCCCATTTCCGCCACAAAAGGGGGAAAAAAAATGGTATTTGGTAAATTATGATTATAAACATTTCTCATTTTTATGAGATAACGGGTCGAAACTATGACAAACAGATGTGATAATGACGTAAGTCGAAATTGGCAGAGAAAATTATGACATGATGATAATAAATTAGGGCTGGGCGATATAGCTAAAAAATGTATCAACGATATAATGTTTCATATCGTTCGGTATCGATAATTATTGACACCCTTTTTTTTTTTTATAACGTTTTTTTAAAACAAAGAGCAATAGAAAATGTTTTTTACATTTAACCACTGTATTTATTTAATTAATTTAACTCATTGAGACAAACAACACATTTCTTTTTTTTTTTTAACAGTCAAAAACAAAATTAAAATTAAATATCTCAAATATTCTAATGTTTTATATGCAGATTAAATAGGTTAAACTATTGACTTGTCTCCTGAAGCCACAGGAGGGCGCAATGAGCAAAATAATGCAGCGCATTTTAAATGTTCAAAGCAAGGAAATAACTGTCTATAAAAAAAACTTGCATTACGTCTAAATTAACTCATATAAATCAAACATAATTTCGTAAATTGCATAAACAATTATGAACAGAACAAAATCATGTATTTATGCATTGCTTAATACAAAGAGCCGAATCGCCCATCACGCAAATTGCATTTAAAAATATAAGAGACGCAGTGAAAAGGAATAAACCCCCACAAATTCGTGATGTGTTTTCTAAAAGTTTAAACTGTTTTAACTTTGCATGGCTTTCTATACATCTATTGTGTGAGACGTGTGAGTGCAGCAGTCATATTTGTCCATCTAAAAAATGCGCTGAATATGCGTTCCGTGTAGGGATGGGCGATATGGGCTTAAAAATGTATCACAATCATTTCTGATATTTATTGCGATAACGATACCAATGACGATAATTTTGGGAATCCTGTTTCTTTAGAGAAAAGTATTATCTTTTTGTGAGCATTACTGAGTACACACGTAATGACCGTTTAATTCATACTGGAAGCCGGAGGGCGGCCCTTGCGCAGAAACTCCACATATGCATCGCAGAAGTAATGCTCCAGGAAGAAGTATCCAGTGATCGCTGTAGCGGAATAAAACGCAGATAATTAAATTTTAACTGCGGAAACCTGGAGACTATAAACATGCGATTGCACAAAATATATGGTATCGGTGTTCTTCAAGCAATCCTGGGTATTTTTTATAAGGATAAAGTATATTTATAATGCAATGCTAATCGACATAGCCTTTATCACTGATATAATGCTATAAAATAGTATGATTTCTGCCTTATTCTGTGATACGAAACCACGTCTGATCACAAAAGTAAGATATTCAAAACACTCGACTGTTATGAAGTTAATATGGAGAAAAAGCATGTCAATAAATTAAAATATCTTTGTTGGACAACAGGTTTGTAAACGACTCATACACATGTAAATCTGTGTCGCACACGTGCTACTGTAGTACATTTACTCAAGGCTCAGACCGATTTTTGTCACACTGTACAGCCCTATCCAAACCTGTTCCAGATTGTAGAAGGAGCTGCTCAATTTCACGTCCGCCTTCCTTCACGTCACTCCACACAGTCGCACACAGAAATGTCAACAACTAGACTTTATCGTTATTATCGCGGGAAGACAAATTCTTATCGTGTGGAGAATTTTTACCGGTATATCGCAAACGATAAGATATCGCCCATCCCTAGTTCTGTGTGAATGGCTTGGTTTCGGGTTTTAACCTAATCAAGATCTTCTACGCATTGAGCTTCTATATTTCTCTAATATTTTGAATGAATAACGCAGCAGCGGCGCGTCTCGTGGGCTAGACTAACAACACATTAAACTACAACGTCACTTACATCATCATCACATCTCGCGCGCCACAGATGACACTCATCTAACATTTGATTGCACTATTTTTGCATTCAAGTGCAAATGTTTATTTTAAAATCGACTAATATTCATTCTTTATTCACAATATCCTCATCACAGGCAGGCACAGCACTCATGTTCGTGTTTGTGTGTGCTGTCTGCGTCACTCAGAGCACGTGCCTATATCCTGCGCTATATCGAACATTTTTTATATCGTTATCGAAGAATGTGTACCGTCGATAAATATCGATACCGTTTTATCGCCCAGGCCTATAATAAATATTGAAATTATACGATGCATGTTTGAGTCAAAACTGACAGTTATACTTATTATGATGTAAAAAAAAAATTTGAAGTTGACTAAAATTTCGAAATAATTGACAATTTCTACTTTTTGTCATAATTTTTACTTTCTCATAATTGTAAATTAGTATCTCATAGTGGATGTTAGTGGTATATATTGATATTGGTAAATGTGATTGCTCTGCTAGGAGATTTGTGAATTTGAGGAGAACTGATTTCATATTTCCAATAACAAATCACCAAATACTAACCAGTCAGCTGTTTGCAGAGGACACTTTTATTTTTTGTAATGCAGTGACACATTTCAAGTGTGACTTAAGTGACAGAATACCTTATAATCCTACATATTTTGGATTATAAAAATATATAATGCATTACATGCATTATTTATAAAAAAAAAATAACTAGGAACTTTTCATTTTACCAGAAACTATATCATTGAAGAGAGAAGTTACGCTCCCTGTGAGGATTTGGTTTTTGGCAGAATGTCATTCAGAGGCTTCAATCCTGAAGTTGAGGTACTTTTGTAAACTTTTATGAAATGCGAGACCACAAGTTTGCTTTAAAATTAATAATAATAAAAGGCATTATGTTCTTCATTATATCGTGTTATACATGTTATTCGAGCATGATTTGAAAATGTGAATTGGGGTTAAGCAAGAACAGTTTTGAACTCAAATTTTATTTATGTACTTGCTCTTAACTGGAGTTTTGTTCATTTTTATCATATCAGTATCACAGATTTGCGACCTGCAATCTGAAATCTTTGCTCATGTTGTGATAATGTGTCTTATCAAATTAATGTCGTGATTGTGCACTGAACATTTTATTTATCAGCAAACTGAATCTCTTGTAGAAATTAATGTTACTTATGAACACACACAAAGAGGAAGAGGATGACGAAGAGGAGGACAATGTGAGCAGAATGGAAACTGATATTACAGATGAAGAGATGGCTCGAAGGTGAGGAAATTATCTCAAAGTAATGTCATTGTACAGGAGGGAAGGACATTGATTGTTATTTGCTTTTTTCTTCAGATATGAAAGCTTGGTTGAGAGCATGAGAAAAAAGTTTGCCAAGAAACGAGATCGCTCCGCGATTACTAAGAATAAAGAAGACGTCAACTGCAATGCTGTTGATAATCGACCCAAAAAGGCATTCCTGAAACCTCAGTACTGAGACGTTTTATTTACACATCTACCATATATATATTTAGATATTTATTTTTTATGCAATGGACTTTTTTTTTAGATTTTTATTTTTGTTTAATGACGATAACCTGCACTGTTAAAAGACCAACATTTCATGGCAAAGGTACAAGTGTTTTATGGATTTGTTTGAACAAGACTTAGTATATATTTTTTCACAATTAAATGTACCATCCTAGAAAAAAAAGTAAAAACCTGACCTGGATGTGATTGACCAGTGCTTTAAAAATGGCCGAGATTTCGATGATGGCTTTAAAACCATTAAGCCATATTAGTGAAATTCTGGCGATATTTCACAAGCAAAAATGGTCTATTGTTAATAATATAGCAATGCAGTCACTTTCAAACCTAGCAGCTTTCTGTTGGTCAATGTAGGTTAAACCGGTTTCGTATTATGCAATGGACTTTTTTTTTAGATTTTTATTTTTGTTTAATGACGATAACCTGCACTGTTAAAAGACCAACATTTCATGGCAAAGGTACAAGTGTTTTATGGATTTGTTTGAACAAGACTTAGTATATATTTTTTCACAATTAAATGTACCATCCTAGAAAAAAAAGTAAAAACCTGACCTGGATGTGATTGACCAGTGCTTTAAAAATGGCCGAGATTACGATGATGGCTTTAAAACCATTAAGCCATATTAGTGAAATTCTGGCGATGTTTCACAAGCAAAAATGGTCTATTGTTAATAATATAGCAATGCAGTCACTTTCAAACCTAGCAGCTTTCTGTTGGTCAATGTAGGTTAAACCGGTTTCGTAAATCGAAATCTTTTGACCATGAAATTTTGCAGAAAAATGATAAATGTGAGCGTACTTTCATGCTAGACTGTAAAATGACTGCTAATGCTGTGGTATTTGCTTGCCTAAATTGTTAACGGAAAGTCAAATGAGGTATGTAAATGTTAAGTGTGCAAGTCTTGTGCGATTAGTATCACTAAACGAGTCACAACTCAAGAATTCAAGAGTTCTGCTGGTTGGGCATCACTGCTCATAAAGATTCGTGATAAGATTCTGTCAGACAGTGAGGTGGGGCTGTGTCTGTAGAGTAATGGAAGAGCCCACGCCGAGGCCCCGGGGTAATAGAAGGGCTTTGGTCTTGGGGACAGTATGGCATGCTTTAAAGCCTCCAGAAACGGCCCTGTGTCTGAGCTTGATACTGAAGACATGTTGACCAGCCGCTGCTGCATTGAGCGGATGTATTCTTCTCCATAAGACACCATCACTTCCTGAGCCAAACCGCTGAGGATGTCCTCCTGAGCGCTATTCCACTGCTCTCTGCTGCCCAAAATATCTGGAAAATGGATTATTGTTGAAAAAATGAAATCATATTTCACTTCAAAATTAAAAGAAAAAGTATATATTTTTAATATCCTTTATTCTTTTGTGTTCTACAGAAAATAATAGCACTAAACATGAATAAATACTGACGGAATTTTCATTTATGGGTGGACCATTCCTTTAAAGGTGCATCTAGTAGGTCCTAATTAAAGTTTTATGAAATAAGTTTTTTTTTTTTTGTAATTAATGGTACACGTTTACCTGAGATTAAGGCCCTGTCCACACGAATGCGGTTATTTTTAAAACCGCAGCTTTTTCTACGTGGTTAGGCCGTTCGTCCACACGCAAACGCAGCACCAGTTCACTGAAACCTAACATTTTCGAAAACGCCTGCCAGGGTGAAGAGTTTCAAAAACTCAGATTGCAGTGTTGTCGTGTAGACAGCGAAGCGGAGCTTTTGGCTTGTGACGTCGGAGCCTGTGCTGTTATCTCCACCTACTGGAACATTTTTCAGGCTTCTGATTGACCAACATGGCTTTACGGTTGAGATTATATCGCCACCTGTTGGTTTGGCATGCTCTTGACAGTGCTTCATAGCATGCGTTTGCGTTTTCATGTGGACAGAGATTTTTTTTAAAACGGAAGGAAAAACTCTGTTTATAAAAATACCTGCGTACGTGTGGACATGGCCTAAGACTGTACAGTACTCATGGTATTCTATTTAAAAAAATTGTTTTAGTTATGTATGGTGCAAGTCACCCCCGTCAATGTATTTTGCTATGCTGAACAGTGTTGCCAAGTCCGTGGGTTTTCCGCGGAATTGGGCTACTTTAACACTGTTGCCGCAGGTTGTTTTTCATGTCCGCGGGTTGAAGCCACTCCAAAAACATGATATTTATCACCTGGAATGTGAATTTTAGCAGGGGAACCCCACCAAAAAATGTGTATTTAACCCCCCGGAATGCGATTTTTAACTGGAGACCCCCTCGAAACACGATTAGGCTAGTTTTGAGTAGCGATTGGGCGGGTTTTCTTGTGAAAACCTGGCAACCCTGATGCTGAATCAACGCATTTCGGTAAGCGTCTGGAAAGAATCTTGAGGCTTGGTTGCTAACAAAAAAAAGTGAAAGTGAAGTGACGTGTGGCCAAGTATGGTGTCCCATACTTGCAATTTGTGCTCTGCATTTAACCCAAGTGCACACACACAGTAGCGAACACACTCGGAGCCGTGGGCAGCCATACCTGAGTAATCTGTGTGAATGGGGATTGTTTAGACAACAATAACCACATAGTGTTAATAATCGTAATTCTGAGTGAATCGGGAAGTCCACACATTAGCTATAACAATAACAACCTGGGAACGATATTGTTGGAATAACTTTCAGAACAATTTTTTTTCCAGTTATTGAATGATAAAAACATTGACTGTCAATCGGAATCCACTCGTTTTTCAAAGTTTGAGCATTTAATATCTGCAGCACGCTTATAACAAACGACAATGTCTGTTGGTGTGGACGCTAATAGTCATCAATATAGTTATTGTTCTTGGTGTGAAAGGGTCTTTATTCTCACTTGTTTTGAAAGCTCCAGGTTGAATGATGATGACTTTGACTCCCCAGCGTGAGAGTTCCTGTCTAATTGCTCCATTGAACGAGATCAGCGCTGCTTTAGATGCCCCATATCCTGCAAATCCAGGAAGTGGAACTTCTCCTGAAGGAAGCCAATGATTGATTTCAAAGCTGTTAGTGTTTATTGGGATCTGTATACTCCTTAATTGGATTGGGATAAATGCTTTGTAAGAGACTATTAAGTACCTGAGGTCTACAAAAATGCATGTTTACAGAAAAGTTTACCTGCCATGCTGGATATACTGATGAGTCGTCCTTTTGATTGTCGTATTAGAGGCAGAAAGGCTTGTGTTATCTCCACACTACCAATAAAATTTACATCTAAGCATTTTTTATACATTTTAATTGGCAGAATTTCTCCATCGCACATGTATCCCAGCACTCCGGCATTGTTCACTAGTGCCCAGAGTCCTGTCCACAAGAGATGAGTCATAAAAAATAACATCAATGCACTTGTCTGTATGCATACTACTAAATTTTAAACAGTAGCATTTCTTCTTGAGGTTGCCAGGGCATTGCTATGTGGTTGCTGCAGTGTTCTGTGTTCAGTGGTTTGTAGCCTGTGGCTATGCGGTTTCTTGGGTGTCCTGGGTTGTTATATGTGATGGGGCATTGCTGGGATATTTTGGGTGGTTGCTATGCAGTTTCTTTGGCATTCTGAACTACTATGCGGTTGCTAGGTTGTTCTGGATAGTTGCTAGAATGTTTTTCTAAAAGGTTGCTTGAGTGCTCTGGGGTGTTGCTTTACAATCACTAGGGTGCTCTTTGTGATTGCTATGTAGTCGCTAGGGGTTTTAGGATTACTGTGTGATTGTTATGGGGTTTGTAAGTGTTCTGTGTGGTTGCTGTGGAGTTACTAGGGTGTCTAGGTGTTATTGGGTCATTGTTAAATGGTTACCGTGTGCTCTAGGTAATTGCTAGTTTTTCTAGATTGCTAGGGTTTCTGAGTAGTTGCTAAGTGGTGGCTAGGGTTTTCTGGATAGTTACTAGGATGTAGCAAAGTAGTTGAGTGGTTAGTTGCTTAGTGGGTGTTCTGGGTAATTGTTAGGATGTTGTTATGTAGTTGCTTGGGTGTTTTGAGGGTTGTTATGCAGTTGCTAGGATGTTCTTTGCTATACAGTCGCTAGGGTGTTCTTGGTGGTTTTGGGATTTCTGCATGGTTGCTATGTGGTTTCAAAGGTGTTCCAGGTGGTTGCTATGCAGTCACTCGCTAGAGTGTTCTAGGTGTTATTAGGATGTTGTTAAGTAGGGTGACCATACATGCCATTTTCCCAGGACGCGTCCTGGCCAGGATTTCTATATTGCCTAAAATATCTAGGTTTTGGCTTTGTTTGCGTGTGCAGACCGATCGGTGTATGACATCAAAGTACCATACAGACAGTTATGCTTTCGAAACACTCTTGAGGTACTTTGATGTCAAACACTGATCGGCCTGAGCCGCACTGCTTTTAAGTCGAACACACCTAATATGTACTCGTAATTGCATCGCTTTGACCGTAGATCCCACCTTCTCACACGCCATGATTGGTCCATTATGTACAATGCTTGCATGTTATTGGTCAAACTACTTTGCGATCATTACCTTCAGCAAGCATGAAAACAGGAAAACAAAGCCAAAACAAATCCTGGCCAGGATGCGTCCTGGGAAAATGGCACGTATGGTCACCCTGTTGTTAAGTGGTTACTAGGATGTTCTGGGTGGTTGCTAGTTTGTTGCTATGTGGTTTCTAGGGTGTTTTAGATAGTTGCTAGGATGTAGCAAAGTGTTTAATTGGTTAGCTGCTAAGAGCATGTTCTGTATAATTGCTAGAATGTTCCCAAAAGGTTGTTTGGGTGTTCTGGGAGTTGCTTTGCAGTCGTTAGGGTGTTCTTGGTGGTTTTTAGGATTACAGGGTGGTTGCTATGCAGTTTCTAAGATGTTCAGGGTGATATTACTGCCGTTTCTATGGTATTCTATGCGTTATTAGGATATTAATTGGTTACTTGATGTTCTTGGTTATTGCTTGGGTATCTTGGTTTTTTAAGTAGTTGCTAAGCACTTGATAGAGTGTTCTGGATAGTTGCTAGGTGGGTGTGCTGAGCAGTTGCTCTGTGGTTTGCAAGAGTGATCTTGATAGTTGCACAGATGTTAAGTGGTTACTGAGGTGTTCTGTTTGGTTGTTATGGGACAGTTGCAATGTGAGTGTTTTGGATAGTTGCTGTGCGATTGCTAGAATGTTCTAGATGATTGCTAGGGTGTTCTATGTGGTTTCTATACTGTCACTAAGGTGTTTTTTATTAGGTTGTTATTAGGTTGTTGTTAAGTGGTTACCAGAGTGTTCTAGGTGGTCACTAGGTAAGTAGACGGTAGATGTTGCTTGAGTGTTCTGAAAAGTTGCTAGGATATTGCCAAGTGGGTATTCTGTGAAGTTGCGATTTGGTTGCTAGAATGTTCTGGATTGTTGCTAAGTGGTTACTAGGGTGTTCTGGGTGGTTACTAGCATTTTCTAAATACAGGTGCATCTCAATAAATTAGAATGTTGTGGAAAAGTTCATTTATTCCAGTAATTCAACTCAAATTGTGAAACTTGTGTATTAAATAAATTAAATGCACACAGACTGGAGTAGTTTAAGTCTTTGTTTCTTTTAATTGTGATGATTTTGGCTCACATTAAACAAAAACCCACCAATTCAGTATCTCAACAAATTAGAATATGGTGACATGCCAATCAGCTAATCAACTCATCACAATTAAAAGAACCAAAGACTTAAACTACTCCAGTCTGTGTGCATTTAATTTATTTAATACACGAGTTTCACAATTTGAGTTGAATTACTGAAATAAATGAACTTTTCCACGACATTCTAATTTATTGAGATGCACCTGTAGATGCTCTGCTTTTGCCTGAGTGTTCTGGATAGTTGCTAACATATTGCTAAGTGGGTGTTCTGGGAAGTTGCTATGTGGTTGCTAGTGTTCTTGATAGTTGCTCAGATGTTGCTAAGGTGTTCTGGTTGGTTTCCAGTGTTTACTATGTAGATGCTATGCTGTTGGTTGAGTGTTCTGGATAGTTGCTAGGATATTGCTCAGTGGGTGTTCTGGGAAGTGGTCTTGTTTGTTGCCAAGATGTTGCTAAGTGGTTACTAGGGTGTTCTGTTTGGTTGCTATGACATTGCTAAGTGGTTGCTAGGGTTTTCTGGGTAGTTGCTATATGACTGTTCTGGACAGGAGGTTGCAATGTGGTCAGTTGCCAAGTGAGTGTTCTGGGTAGTTGCTGTGCAGTTTCTAGAATGTTGGTTGATGTTTCCATGTGGTTGCTAGGGTGTTATAGGTAGTTGTTATGCTGTTGCTAATATGTTCTTTGTGATATTTTTTTGTATGTTTTGAGTGGTTGTATTTGTATTTATTCATTCATTCTAAATCAAAAGACTCCATCTCAAGTCTTTATGAGATTCTAGTATCTATATATGGTTCAGATCCCTCCTTGTGCAAGTCTGTGATGTTTTGTCATCTGCCAGGAAAAAATTTTTAATTTTGCAAAAAAAGCCCACCTCTCCTCAACAAGCCGATCTGAGGTATAATTTATGGCTGTAGCACAAACGATTTGGCTGAGTTACATATCACATAAGTACTTGTCATTGCTTGCCTTAGGAAATACAATTAATAAGATTAGATATATCAACACTATATTTACCGGTTTTGCCTATTTGACTCTGGATGTACTGATGTGCCTGTGTGATCTGGCTGCTGTTGGTGATGTCTAACTGTAGGACAGTGAGATTTGGAGATGCATCTTTCTTCAGCTTCAGAGCTCCAGGACTGAGTTCATCCAGAAGCCCTGCAAACACCCTCATCCCCGCGCTGTCCAAAAACCTGGCCAGATCGTGACCAAAACCTGAATCACAACCTGAGACAAGCACAAGCTCAGTTCCTTAAACAATCACACTGTTACAATTCCAATGCATTATGGATAATTTTGGTAATTGAAAGCATCTAATAATGCAGCAGCTCGTTTGAAACCAGAAACCAGTCTGTGTTAAGTGTCATCACAAGAATGCAGCAGTGATTTATGGTCTTACAGGAAGAAGTGCTGTTAACCTTACTGAGATAAGTTCACAGTGCAAAGTTCACTAGGGTGGCAGAGAAATATTGATTTACTGGGTGAAATGTTTACATTTCATTGCATTAAGACCATTAATATTTTATTTAGTGACATTATTTTCATACAATTAAGAACATTTACCCCCAATTCTCATTACTGTAATGCAAAGATCATATTCTCATTACCATAATATACTTAACTATATTACTCGCATTAGTTACTTTTATCACTCTAAAGGCGTTTGATTTTTTCAGATGTAATATATACCAAAATTTATATATATATTTTTTTCAAATTCAAATGTGTATATAGATAGATAAGTGCTGATAACATTAATGTATTTTTCCCCCCAGAAATCAGAATCACTATAATGAATAATAACACATTGTACATAGTAAAACCTATATAGATCATAAAAATTAGATTGATTTATGTAATTATTTATTCTTGTATTATTTATTACGGGATTAGGACTTCAGGAGGAAATAATCTTAAATGTCATAAAAACAATGTCACAATGCAAAAAATTATAATAAAAATAGGCTTTATTTCTTATTACAAGATGCAATTTCTTATTTCAACAACATTCTTGAGGTTTCATGAAATTCAAACAATAACAGAATCAGTGCAATACAATTAATATATGTTGAGATTCATAATATATACAAATGCACAAACACAGAATTTAGCCAACAACAGTCTGACAGGACCAAACAGGATAGTGTCTTACCTGTGATCAGTACTGCCTTGTTTTTGGTAGGCAACATGACCTCTTCTCTCCCTACATAGTGGATGAGACTACACAGCACACTCACAAGCCCCACTTTAAGGGCACTTGAATGGACCAAGCAGCTCAACATCACTCCAGAAACCACGAGTAGCACCAACAACCTCACCGACCGGCCCTCAGCAACTTGCAGAAGCAGCAGCCCAACACAAATTACCACAAGCAGATCGTATAGAAAACCCAGACAGCCTTCTACAATCCCCTCCATTTCTACACCACGCACAGGAATGAAGCAGCCAATGCTATCAGGAAATCTAGAAAGGCGCCTGTAAGATTACAACCTGTCTATTGTGGTCAGCTGGTTTGATGAGTGTGTGAATCTTGTAAATCTTTCAGGTTTTATGCTTCACACTGCACACAGAAATGAATCCCGCCCTCAACCAGTGCATATCATATGTTGCTCATTTAGGCATGTGCAAACGTGCCTATGGCCGTGGAAGAATGGGGCTGGAGGTGAACTCTATTATTTTATGTAAAACTCTAGTCCATGTTTTATCTTAAGAAACAGAGTTACATGGAAACAAACGGAAACTATAAAATAAAAGGATATTGATGAAATAATCTAATGTGCTTTTAACAACATAATTGGATGCATTAACCTGATGAATTGCAAAATTGCACTTGTTGGCTCAAAGGTCTTCTGGCCTGACAGCATTTAAAGAAATATTGGATTCACTTTCATAACCATCAACTGATTTTGGTATGGACTGATTTGGTAATACATTGAACATTAAACTTTTCTTTACTCCGTTCCTTTCCGGTAACTGTGACTGTTTCTAGCTCAGTATCTTTTGTCTGGAACAGCATTCCTGTCAAACTATGCCAACACAGTTCAATCACACATCCCAGTCCTAAAACCCAATCCCAAAGTCTGATTGGTTGATAGGAACCAGTGCATAGATGTTGAACAAAGAAAACGTCCTACTTGACAACACATGGCAAGTTCAAAAGCTAAGAAAGTTAGCCTGCTTTAGAGTGCAGTTTGAATAGTCATCGTATAGTTAGCACGTTCACTAATTCTTCCAACTCAAAAGCCAAGTAACGTGTAAGTAATGAGGTCCCAGACCAAGGGGTGATGTCAAATCATTCTAGGTTTCCAAAACAGATTAGCATAAAAAAAGAAATGTATTTTACTCATTGTGTTGGTGTGGCACTGCCAAATAATGGTAGTGAGTAAGCTCATTCATTAAAACAGCTCATTAAATCAATTCTGGTGGTGCCACCTACAAATCTGGAACATATGCAGGTCCATGTAATGGACACTTATCTTGGAGGGAATTTGACAGAACAAAAAGAATATGCGATTAAGCAAGGTGACAAAGAATACATTTATTGTGGTTCCTTGGCCCAAAGGAGAACATGAAATCCATCTAGAGTGTGCAGTGCAAACAGATAGTCGTCCCATACTGGTCCACAGATACATGAATACAGTCAAATCTTACGCAACACACAAGAATCTCATGGCTTATACATGATGACAGACATAAAGTGCTTGTCCTCCTTGTCTAGGCTTATTATATGAACTATGCCAAGCGTTAATACATAATTCACTAATCTCATTGGATGAGGGGGTCAGCAGAGGTAGGGTTAAAGGGGAGGAGTTAGGAAACATTTAAGAGCGGTTCTTCTTGAAGAAGCTGATGAGTCCATTGGTGGAGGAGTCGTGGGAATGAACCTCTGCGTCGTCCTGCAGCTCGGGTTCGATCTTCTTGGCCAGTTGCTTGCCGAGCTCCACACTGATGGGACAGATACAAATCTGTTAATGTACGATTGCCTGAAACTTCAGACTTGAAGCAAATAATTTGGAGGGAAAGATCTGTCGCAACTTTTGAACTGGACCCAATTGAAGCTGCAGAAGACTTTAAACTGGACTCACCCCCATTGGTCATAGCTGTTGATATCCCACATCACACCTTGCACAAAGATCTTGTGTTCATACATGGCTGAAACGTATGAACAAATACAGAATATTGTCCTTGAGTGCAGGGTCTACAAAACAAATGCACATCTACAAAAGGAAGTAGCGGGATAATATGTTTGATACTCACCAACAAATGCACCAAGCATGAATGGTGTAAGTTTCTTGAAAATGATCGAGTTGCTTGGCTTGTTTCCTTCGAAAACCTACAAAAATCAATGTGTCATTCAAAAACAGATCACATGTACGGGACTAAATTCAAATATTACACACCAGAAGAAAATCCCACATACAATAAAAGATTCAAACTGTACTGTACGATGTCTGAACTGAGAGTGTCACAAAACAGTAGGCGAAAAGTATTCAGATGACCTACTATTTCTGGCGGGATCATATTAGGCCATAGGAGAGGATTCGTAAATAGTATTTCCTCTGCATTTAATCCATCCAAGTTAGTGCACATACACATTAGGAGCAGTGTGTGGACACTAATTCACTAATCTCATTGGATGAGGGGGGTCAGCAGAGGTAGGGTTAAAGGGGAGGAGTTAGGAAACATTTCTGAATGGTTCTTGAAGAAGCTGATGAGTCCATTGGTGGATACAGACCAGGAGCAGTGGGCAGCCGTTTTTGTTGCGGGGAGCAATTGGGGTTTCTAGTCATGGGTATAGAGTATGGAAGAGAGCGCTGTTCATTCACTCACCCCACCTACATTTCCTGCCTCCTGGTTACAAGCCCGATTCTCTAACCGTTAGGCCACAAATGCACATGTTGTTGGTCACATGGCAGTGGTAGATTTAGTAAGTCCAGATTGCATTCATACTATGCACATTTGTACTAAATAGAACATGCTTTTGTAACAGTGGTAAAGAAAGTACTTATTCAAAAGAAGTACCTACTAAGGGAGTGTGTGATTTCGGTGAGTTAAATCAGGCGTTTGATTAGGAAGAGTTTGAAAATGTGTACTGCTGGAGTGCCTATAAGAAACACACTTTATGTCAGGGTTAGACATGCCTGCTCCTAAAGAGAGCTAGTTTCCTGCAATCCCAAGCCTGCTTCAACACATCTGCCTGCAATTTTCAAGAACTCTGCAGGATGATTGCTCTCCAGTGAGCACCAGCTAGAAGCTGCTCGAAATTGTCAAAACCTATGAGGGGACAATGAATAAAGTCACTGGATCATTTACAGACAGAAAAATGTGTGTAAATAGTCTATCAGTGCAAGATGATGCACTAGCGGCCTTTCACATTTGGATCAGGCAGAAGTTAGGCCAGAAACATGCTCTACACAAGTACATAAACATGAATGTTTGGTCAGAACTTGGAGGGTTTTTTTACTTATTGTGAACACCAGAATGGAGTCAGGTGGTTGAAGAGGAGGAATTTGTAAATGGTGGACAGTAAATTAGATATAAAAAAAAAAACACAATTAGTAATGTACCTAATTACCAAACAAACCATATTTTTGGGAATATCATTTATGAATCATTCAAATCAGGACCATGAACATGGATTAAGAAAGTAAATGGGGTCAATTATGATTTAATGTTGAATTTAAATCAGTTTAACTAGTTAACTCCAGTTCTCTCAGTGGTTCTCACTGACATTGAGTATGTTTACACGGACAACAATAATCCGATATTAATACGATTAAGACAATATTCTGATTAAGAATCTACCATGTAAACAGAGATTTTTGATTACCTTAATCTGGCTGAAGTCATAATCGAAGAAAACACAAATCGAATTAAGACATGTGGAGTATTCCTATTTGAATCGCATTATTGAAGTGCAGTATAGACATGTACACACTTTAAATCACATTATTACCGTCGTGTAGTGACCGGCAGTGGTCAACCGTTTGATGGCAAACAAAAGAGCATGGCTTCAAGCAAGAAGGCACATGTTTATCCGCCGTTGTCTGTTTGCACGTATATCATGACATATAATTAACTGCACTTGAAGCTTTCGTAAAAATTAAAAATGAAACACCCAAAACTGTATAGTACCGAAGACGAACTGTATGTTGATATTCCAGAGGGGCGTCGCGTGGGAACGTAATGACGAGAGGCATTAATCGATCTATGTACTATAACATGTAAAACCGGAACATGAAAGGAATATTCTAAAAGCGACTCATGTAAACACCGTAATCATAACATTGTCTTATTCAGAATAAGGTAAATAATAAGATTACTGATGTCCATGTAAACGTACTAACTGAAAGAATAAACTAGTTACAGCACACCAAAATAAAACTTGCGTAGCTAGAAGCAATTGCGATCACATACATGCAAACAGCATGTTTCAGGCCTTATGCTCATACAGCAGACGTACCTACGTGCAGTGCAATGGACAAACCGATAGCCGACCACAGCGAGTAGCGCCCGCCGACCCACTAAAACATGAGCAATCAGCATCAGAAAAACAGTCTGGGCTTTGAGAAGTAATATGCTAATTCAGAGTAGTCAAATATTACTGCCAGTCATGCATTCAGTCATTTACTTTCAGCCTTATTCTCAGCCAATCAAAATTAAGATTTGCATTCTCGTGCAATAACAGAATATAATGTAAGGAATACTTACATCCCAAAACTCAAACATGTTGTTGGTGTCGATACCAAAGTCCTTGACTTTTGGCTGGTGAGGAAACAGGAAATTTCTTTAAAACTTTTTTAAAGATACTTAAACCATCGACATAAAATAGCATACAGCTGACAAAATCCTGTACTTACTGCATTTGTGGAAAGAGCCACAAAATGTTTGGCCACAGCAGATGTCTGAAAATACACAAAACGCTGAATGAGACAAAAAGACAACCATCTATAAATGTAGTGCATAAAATTAGACATAAATCAGGAATCTTTCAGTAAAACAGTAAAAGTACTAACATCTTTAGCGGCCTGGAGGAACCATTCTTTGGCCGTCTCAGCATTAGTGATGGTCTCTTGGGTGGTGAACGTCTAAAAAACAAAATACATTAAGAAATTAAGTACTTGCAGTAACTGGTTCACTTTGTATTACCAGTTTTGTTTAATAGAAATCAAGCATGTGATCAGCTAGAGACAAAAAAGCATATATATATATATATATATCTATCTTATATTTTAATAATACATACTATTGTCCTGTAAAAGTAAAAATCAGCATTTAATAATAATATAATAAAAGTATTAACAGTAATATTATTGTGAAATATTATTACAAATTAAAAAAAAATAATTATATTTTAATATTATAAAATGTAATTTATTCCGGTGATCAAAGCAGCATTTTCTGCATGAATTCTCAGTGTCACATGATCTTTTAGAAATCATTACAATTTGATTTGCTGCTCAAGAAACATTTCTGATTATTATCAATGATGAAAACAGTTGTGCTGCTTCATATTTCGTGTGGAAATGGTGATACGTTTTATTTTTCAGGATTCTTTGATAAACAAAGTTCAATGAACAGCATTTAATTGCATTTATCAAATATATGCATTACATTTAGTAAAGCATTTATTAAATATAAATCTTCTGCATCATTTAAATGCCTTCACTCACTTATCACTTTCATGTATGATGAATACATTTATTAATTTCTCTCTTTTTTTAAATCACAAATGTTTGAGTGCTATCATAAATGTTAAGCAGCAAAACTGTTTTTAACATTGATAATAATAAATAGTAAATGTTTTTTGAGCAGCAAATCAGCATAGAATGATTTCTGAAGGATCATGTGACACTGAAACTTCTTTGTAAACAACAGATTTATAAACGATTCTAATGTTCTCAAATGAACACTACAGTACTGTTTTTTTGTACCTTGGATGCGATGATGAAGAGGGTGGTCTCGGCGTTGAGCTGGGCGAGGGTCTTGGCCATGTGTGTGCCATCAATATTAGAGACAAACCAGACGTTGGGTCCTCCTTTAGAGTACGGCTTCAGAGCTTCAGTCACCATCAGAGGACCCTAAAGAACAAAACAAAACTTAATAAATGCTACTCCAAACATTACACAAGTATCGTGAATGATTACCAGACTTGACTCGGTGAGTCCTAGCCGTCAGGATAAAAGAGAGAATATCTAACAGAAGTGACTGACATTTCAGTTCAGAATCAGGCAACATTTGCTATGATAAACATAACTAACAACAGACAGTTTTATTATACTTCAGTTACTCTAAGCGATAGCCAAATCTCCTTTATTGTTCAATTATGATGTGTAAGCATCTCCGGGAACTCATAGTAAACTCACCAAGTCAGAACCACCAATGCCAACGTTCACGACGTCAGTGATGGCTTTACCACTGAAGCCTTTCCACTCGCCACTGCGCACTTTCTGTAAAATAACACGCACATACACGGTGTCAACTTTCAGGAATTTTCATAGCTGTCAGTGAAATTAATGATCAATTAATCATAAATTGTATTATATTACTTTAAAATGCAAGCAGAGAAGTACCACTTGGCCCATGTAAAAAAAAAATATATATATATATATTTATTTGCTTGCTTATTTTCATATATAATTAATGATCAATTAATCATAAATTGTATTATATTACTTTAAAATGCAAGCAGAGAAGTACCACTTGGCCCATGTAAAAAAAAAAATATATATATATATTTATTTGCTTGCTTATTTTCATATATATATATGAATATATATGAGAGAGAGAGAGAGAGAGAGAGAGAGAGAGAGAGAATTATATATGTTTGTATGAGTACAGGTATTTTCTGCTTAATAAATGTTCATTCCACTGTATTATAATATTTTTATTTAATTATTGGTATGTTAATATTATTTAATTAGAATTTATATGACAAATTAAACTAATTAAATGACTAAAATATATATTATTAATTTTATATTATTATATATTATTATTTATAATATATACATTTTGTTGATTTTGATTGCTTCCATTATCGTCATTTGTAAGTCGCTTTGGATGCGTCTGCTAAATGAAGAAAAAAAAATATATACACACATACATACACATTTTTATTACTTGTTTAATTAACTACAATAATAATAATAATAATAATAATGTTTAATGAAAATACAGATGCAACTCCACAATAAAACCTTATTGTGTGGGTATTACTTTTGAGTTGTAGTTTGAGTACAGTGTATATAATATCACTACAGAGGTCAGTTACAGTGAGATTTGCATGCTCTCCTAGCTTTATGACTGGCGGTTGGGAATTGGAATGACACAGTGACACTGTCAAATGATTATAGTGATCATAGATTCATATTTTCATTTTAGTTAATAAGTGAAACATTTTTTTTTTAAAAAGTGTTCTATAAACAAGCGAGTTGTTACGTGCATATTCACTCACATGGCAAAAGCCCTTCATCTGCTCCAGGACTCTGTTCACGTCCAGCATTATGTCCTTACCGTCCACCATGATAGGAGTGTTAGAGCGGTTCCTCAGGGCGGTGTGGAGAACAGCACGACCCTACAAACACACACACAAACTCAGCCCTACCCTAAAGAGGCATATAAGCAACTACTCTCCCTTTATTTAATTGACATCCGTTTCATTTGTAACCATCTCATGCAAGTTATGTCTCCCTAAGTAGTTCATTAGAATATAATTTACCATGAGCCACAAAAGAGACATTACATGCTGCAGTTTCAGGACAGCCATTAAGGTAAAGAGGAAACTGAGGGTTTTAACAGAACTTTCTGCTATGTGCCAATAGAAATTTAGAGAAGATGGAAGTGGAAGCAAATTCTAGAAGTGCATTACAACAGGTCTTGCAATTTCAATCTAAACCTCTCAGATTAAGTTAATTCTCAGTGAAATGTTTTACTGAGATCTTACCTCAGTGAAGTTGATCTTTTCCCCTGCAAACATCTTCTCTCTGGCAGCTTCAACGCCCACCGATCGCGCCTAATCATGATGAGACAGGAAAAAACAGTTAATGGGAACTTGTGCATGCATGCATACAAAGAACTATACAAACACCAATTGTGTTTTGTGCTGTGATTACTGTAAGAAATCTGCTGCATCAGAGTGATACAGTTTTGCAATCTCTACTTTGATTGGTTGCAGAGAGGAAGTACTGAGTCAGGTTAAATATGGGGCTGTAATGATAACTAAAGCTCAAAGTATACTTCCGTTATATGTACAATATTGACTTGCAATCCTGAGAAAAAAAAAAATCAGATTTGCAATATATAAACAATTGCATGATGTAAAGTCGGCATTGCACGATGTGAAGTCGGCATTGCACGATGTGAAGTCGGCATTGCACGATGTGAAGTCGGCATTGCACGATGTGAAGTCGGCATTGCACGATGTGAAGTCGGCATTGCACGATGTGAAGTCGGAATTGCACGATGTGAAGTCGGAATTGCACGATGTGAAGTCGGAATTGCACGATGTGAAGTCGGAATTGCACGATGTTAAGTCGGAATTGCACGATGTTAAGTCGGAATTGCACGATGTTAAGTCGGAATTGCACGATGTTAAGTCGGAATTGCACGATGTTAAGTCGGAATTGCACGATGTTAAGTCGGAATTGCACGATGTTAAGTCGGAATTGCACGATGTGAAGTCGGAATTGCACGATGTGAAGTCGGAATTGCACGATGTGAAGTCGGAATTGCACGATGTGAAGTCGGAATTGCACGATGTGAAGTCGGAATTGCACGATGTGAAGTCGGAATTGCACGATGTTAAGTCGGAATTGCACGATGTTAAGTCGGAATTGCACGATGTTAAGTCGGAATTGCACGATGTTAAGTCGGAATTGCACGATGTTAAGTCGGAATTGCACGATGTTAAGTCGGAATTGCACGATGTTAAGTCGGAATTGCACGATGTGAAGTCGGAATTGCACGATGTGAAGTCGGAATTGCACGATGTGAAGTCGGAATTGCACGATGTGAAGTCGGAATTGCACGATGTGAAGTCGGAATTGCACGATGTGAAGTCGGAATTGCACGATGTGAAGTCGGAATTGCACGATGTGAAGTCGGAATTGCACGATGTGAAGTCGGAATTGCACGATGTTAAGTCGGAATTGCACGATGTTAAGTCGGAATTGCACGATGTTAAGTCGGAATTGCACGATGTTAAGTCGGAATTGCACGATGGAAGGATGGAATTGAAAGATGTAAAATCGCCATTGTGAGAAAAGTCAGAATTCTGAGTTTATATCTTTCAATTTTGACTTAAGGGTTACAAAGTCTGAATTATGAGATAAAGTTACAATTATCTTTTCTTTTTTTTTACTCCATGCTCCTGTGTTTGCACTGTCAAATTATGTATATAATTATACTTTTGGCTGCAAACATACGATAGCATTTGCGTCAAAACTGAAGTATGCTTTGGTTGAAGTCGGAATTGCACGATGTTAAGTCGGAATTGCACGATGTTAAGTCGGAATTGCACGATGTTAAGTCGGAATTGCACGATGTTAAGTCGGAATTGCACGATGTTAAGTCGGAATTGCACGATGTTAAGTCGGAATTGCACGATGTTAAGTCGGAATTGCACGATGTTAAGTCGGAATTGCACGATGTTAAGTCGGAATTGCACGATGTGAAGTCGGAATTGCACGATGTGAAGTCGGAATTGCACGATGTTAAGTCGGAATTGCACGATGTTAAGTCGGAATTGCACGATGGAAGGATGGAATTGAAAGATGTAAAATCGGCATTGTGAGAAAAGTCAGAATTCTGAGTTTACATCTTTCAATTTTGACTTAAGGGTTACAAAGTCTGAATTATGAGATAAAGTTACAATTATCTTTTCTTTTTTTTTACTCCATGCTCCTGTGTTTGCACTGTCAAATTATGTATATAATTATACTATAAACATACGATAGCATTTGCGTCAAAACTGAAGTATGCTTTGGTTTTAAGCTCACACTACATAAACATTACACCACACACAGGCCTAACTTAACCTGATACAACTATTCTATTTTCAGCAGTAGCAGCTTTAAGAACACATGCATTTAGCCAATTAACATCTGGAGACACACGCGCGCACACACACACACACACACACACTTCTGACAAGGGGTTTAAAGATGCTTAGGTGAGAGATTACAGTAACAGCTCCGATCCTGCACTGCTTTTTAATAGTAACACACTTTACTCTGACTTTATGAAGAAATGTTTAGCTTGAGGAGGATTGTGGACCGTACCATGTCGAAGAGCATGCGCATGACTTCTTCATTGATGAGATTCTTAGAGTAATCCAGCAGAATGTCTCCATCATCTGTCGTCATCTGTAAACTGCTCAGAAGACAGGATCACACACACAGTTAGGATATACAAAAGCTCTATTATTATTTGTTTAATTTTGCTTCATGTACAACATGGATAATGCAGGGACATCATTCAAGCCTGGTATACATCCAAGTGAGAGGATCTTAGTGATGTTTAGACAGAGAATGAATTAAACCGATGAGGAAAACTAAATGAGCCATTTGAGAAAATATATCATGCCCATCTTAGCACAGTTATATTAAGCAGCGACTCTCAAACTGCAGCATGCCACATTACTCTCAGAACTGAATTGTACCCAAATAAATATTTTTCAGATATTTTAAATGATTATTTTTTTTCCCCCTCGCAATTTAATTTCCTGAGCTATCCCTTACAAAAAATGTAATGGCAAAAATATTTTCGTCCAAAATACCATATACTTTCCACAAAATCTTTATTGTATTTTTTACCTAATATTTGAATACTAATGTAATAGAGCTTACAGTTATACAAATACAGTTTTACTGTAATAACAAGTATAATGTTATAATAAATTATAATATGCATATTTTGCATATTATAAAAACGTAAATCAAATGAATTTTAAATACATTACATTTAAATATTATGAATGAAGATAAAAGGAGTTCTATTCACGCACAGCACGTTCAGTACTGATTCAGCCCGCAGTGAGTGTGTGCAAAAGAGCACGTACAACATGCTGCTATAGCGCCCTCTGTTGGCCAACCCACCACAGCTAATGAACTCTAATATGACTAACTATGCCTGGTGCATATGCAACATATAAACACAGAAGTGTCGCACTAGAGGATGTGATTGCATAAGCAGTGAGTGCACTTGAGAAATACCTGATCATGTGCATTTAATGAAACACAGTCACAGAAACTCACCCATGTATGCTGCCACATAATACATGCGTGTAGAGCTGTAGCACACAAGATCGATGACCTTGTTTTGTGTCTAGCTGCTAATATGGCTATGCGCGCGCACACACACGCACGCACGCACGCACGCACACACACACACACACACACACTTCTGACAAGGGGTTTAAAGATGCTTAGGTGAGAGATTACAGTAACAGCTCCGATCCTGCACTGCTTTTTAATAGTAACACACTTTACTCTGACTTTATGAAGAAATGTTTAGCTTGAGGAGGATTGTGGACCGTACCATGTCGAAGAGCATGCGCATGACTTCTTCATTGATGAGATTCTTAGAGTAATCCAGCAGAATGTCTCCATCATCTGTCGTCATCTGTAAACTGCTCAGAAGACAGGATCACACACACAGTTAGGATATACAAAAGCTCTATTATTATTTGTTTAATTTTGCTTCATGTACAACATGGATAATGCAGGGACATCATTCAAGCCTGGTATACATCCAAGTGAGAGGATCTTAGTGATGTTTAGACAGAGAATGAATTAAACCGATGAGGAAAACTAAATGAGCCATTTGAGAAAATATATCATGCCCATCTTAGCACAGTTATATTAAGCAGCGACTCTCAAACTGCAGCATGCCACATTACTCTCAGAACTGAATTGTACCCAAATAAATATTTTTCAGATATTTTAAATGATTATTTTTTTCCCCCCTCGCAATTTAAATTCCTGAGCTATCCCTTACAAAAAATGTAATGGCAAAAATATTTTCGTCCAAAATACCATATACTTTCCACAAAATCTTTATTGTATTTTTTACCTAATATTTGAATACTAATGTAATACAGCTTACAGTTATACAAATACAGTTTTACTGTAATAACAAGTATAATGTTATAATAAATTATAATATGCATATTTTGCATATTATAAAAACGTAAATCAAATGAATTTTAAATACATTACATTTAAATATTATGAATGAAGATAAAAGGAGTTCTATTCACGCGCAGCACGTTCAGTACTGATTCAGCCCGCAGTGAGTGTGTGCAAAAGAGCACGTACAACATGCTGCTATAGCGCCCTCTGTTGGCCAACCCACCACAGCTAATGAACTCTAATATGACTAACTATGCCTGGTGCATATGCAACATATAAACACAGAAGTGTCGCACTAGAGGATGTGATTGCATAAGCAGTGAGTGCACTTGAGAAATACCTGATCATGTGCATTTAATGAAACACAGTCACAGAAACTCACCCATGTATGCTGCCACATAATACATGCGTGTAGAGCTGTAGCACACAAGATCGATGACCTTGTTTTGTGTCTAGCTGCTAATATGGCTATGTCTGCTCTGTTTTAAAGCAAAGATAAATAGTTACACATACTATCAGTGTGTTTATAGGAGTGTAAATGAAGGATATAAAGCAGGTGCAGCAGTGCAGAGGGCGGAAGCTGGAGCTCGAGACTCTTGGCCTGATGTGGCAATAACCTTGCAACATCAACCTGGAAATCTAGGCTGCCATGTTACGCTGATCGTCATGATATGTGCATGTTTCCACTTATATATTTCCTGATATTAAATTGCAAGACTATTAAAATGATTTTTTTTAGGAAAAAACTGCATGGATTTGTTCATATAGGCCTTAAAGACCAAGATGCGAGTCCTAGTAGCAGCTGATGAGCAGCAGATGTGATGCTGGCAGGCTCGATGAGATGAAATGTGCATCTAGCAGAGCTCACATACACAGCGGAAGAGTTCACCTGAGCTTGTTGGATCTGTCTGGATCGGCGTCGAACATCTGCCTCATGTTGAGGTTCCCGGCGCTGGATTTGTACCTGAAAAATAACGTGTTTTTTGAACATTAAAGCATGTCAACATATTGTGACACCAAATAATGATCTTTAAAAAAGCATCATATGACCCCTTTAATTACACACTTTTGAGTATTTGAAATAACAAAATTGACTTTTTTTTGATACCGTGTGTGATGGCTGATATTAATCAACTCACTTATTTTATAAAAAAAATTTTGTGTGCTTTTTTGTTTGTTTGTAGGGATTTGATCACCACTAGATGGAACCAAACAATCACAACAATAGTTTGTACACTCTCAGGAAAACAACAACGACAACAAATGAACCCCTTTATTAAAAAGGTGCTAATATTTACCATTTAGGTACAAATACAATACAATACTGAAGTACTAATATGTAGCTTTTAGGGTGCTACCCCCCAATGACAACTTTTTTTCTTTTCTTTTCTTTTTTCTTTTGAGAGTGCAATTGGAGTTGTAAGAATGCCGGCTTATTTAACATTACTCAATTGTGAAAGACTATTTATTTCAATTATGTTTTAATCAAAATTATTTTTTATTATAATCAAAACTATTTGATAAGTGCACAGAATTTTAGATTTTAGAATAATTTTAGAAGACTAGCCATTGCGCAACACAATGCACATAACTAAGTGCACTTGTAGTATATTTCATATCTTAAAAGTATACATATTTTTTAAAAACTATACTTGTAGAAAATGTAATATTACTGATATAAGAGGCCATTTAAGAGTACACACTTTGAATTTCAACACTTTAAAATAAGGTTCCATTAGTTAATGTTATTTAATGCATTAACATGAACAAACAATAAACAATGCATTACAGTATTTATTAATCTTTGTTAATTTGAATGAAAATACAGTCGTTCATTGTTAGTTCATGTTAATTTACTGCATAAACTAATGCTAACAAGCACAACTTCTGATTTTAATAAAGCATTAGTAGTGAAATTAACTAAGATTAATAAATGCTGTAGAAGTATTAATGCTTAGTTCATTTTAATTAACTAATGAATCTTATTGTAAAGTGTTACCGAGATTCTTAACACACTTTAAATACACTTAAAAATGTGCACTTTGTAATGCCACAATAAAGTTTTTAAGTATATTTTAATTTTAATAATCTTTTGTTGTGCTTTAAAGTACACCTATTTTTTATGGTACATAACATACTAAAGCACATGTAAAATACTTCATAATTTACTTATAAATTACTGTAGTTATTCAATATTAAATTGGTTATATTTTAAATGTACTAAATTCCAATTTTACAAATGTGTAATTAGAAAAATATATATTTAATACATGAGGTATAAGCTTTACCAAATGTGCTTTTCAGTGCATTCAGCAGTACACATTTACCGTATTAAAAAAAAACTGAAGCTAATATATTGCATGTAAAATACATTAAAGGTATTAACTGACCCCAAAATGAAAATTGTCATCATTTACTCATCCTCCACTTGTTCCAAACCTGTAGGAGTTTCTTTCTTCTGTTGAACACAAAATATATTATGTAACCAAAAAGTTGATGGTAGCCATTGACTGCCATAGTATTTTTTTTTTCATACTATGGAAATCAATGGCTACCGTCAACTGTTTGATTACCAATATTCTTGAATATATCTTCTTTTGTGTTCAACAGAAGAAAGAAACTCCTGGAGTAAATTAATTTTCAGTTTTGGGTGCACTTTGCCTTTAAGTCTAATTAAGTTAGACTAATTGCAATTAATATAAACGTAAACTACATTTTAATTTTGCAAATAACATGTAATTAAGTGTCAGGGGAAAAACAATGTACAGTGTTGGGGAGTAACTAGTTATGTAATTTAATTACAAAATAAACTAATCACTGTAACTGTAAGATATGTAACTGTAATCAGTTAGTTACTAAGAAAAAATTGGTAATTAAATGAGTTACTTATGAAAATGTTAACGATTACAAAGGGGGTTACATTTGAATATTTACACACATCCACAAACAGATTTAATTGATTTCTTTCCCAAATTGCTCTGACTACTCTTAGACATATGGCTCTAAAATATCCGCGATGCGGAAAACATGGACTGGCTGGAACTCCTATAACGCGGAATGTCACGGAATATGCAACATTTGGACGAATAAACCAAAAGTAAGTAAGTACATTTGAATCAAGACGCGATATGGACTAGTGTCTGTGAATATTAAGCCGCAAAAAGACAATATATGAATCCTACACGTTCTGCGTGTCTGTGGAAATCAGGCGCGGACGATTCTCGGTGGCCTGGCAGCCGAATATGCAATATGAAAATAATTGAAGACAAAATGTGTTTTACTGAGAAAAAACAAGATTTGTTTTTTAAAAAGGCTTTTTCCAAAAGGTACATCTGGAAAAAGGGGGGATCGTCTTATAATCAGGGTCGTCTTATATTCGGGCCAATATGGTAATTGCCAGGCGAATGTACTAAAGCGATTGTTTCTGAATTCGACATTCGATAATGAATCTCTAATAAATCGTGAATCAGTTAGTCGTGATTGGGAATGCAATGCGAGAGAGAGAATGGAGAGGACTGTGGAAGCGCACAGATGAAGCAGAGAAGCACAACTACTGTTCAGGGTTTCAAGTGCAGGTCAGTTTCATCTGTAAATATGCTATTGTAGTTTTGTCTTTGTTTACTTCGTTAAGCAGCAGCAGCCCATTGCTCATCAGTCATCACTCAAAATACTGTATAAAGGACATCAGTATTATCTATTGTAATGTTACAGTAGTCATTTAGCAGACAAATAATCATATTTTATAATAGTTTTAGGGGGAGCTAGGGCAGACAACAACACAACCCTTATGGAAATTAACAATTTTACCTAACCATGGTAACCACAAATGATTAACCATGGTTTTGGCTACACTACCCATAGTTTAACCATGGAATTTGTAGTAAAAATAAAGACAAATGGTAATCTCAAAGTAAAAGGCGGTACTAAAGTCTGATTTTGTGGTGGATGTGTTCAAATTTGATCATCTTAATTCAAGTGAGGAAGGATTTTGAAAGTCTGACAGTGTTGAGCACTACTGTAAGGTTAAACCTGCATGCTTAACAGTTGCAAACATTTATTAGAAATTTAGAAAAGTAATCAGTTACATTAATAAAGTAATTGGAAAAAGTTACACTACTATTACATTTTAAATAGAGTAACTTGTAATCTGTAACCTATTACATTTCCAAAGTAACCTTCCCACACACATGTGTTCAGTTCACACTAATGTATGGAGCATAAACACTCAACCCCCCCAAAAAAATAAATCACACAACAGATAGTAAACGGTTTATTCTTGCATCTAGTAAAAACCTCTTTACATGTAGTTGTGAACAAATACCATGCTGGGTTCACAAGGAAAGCGTGTCGACCCTGATGAAAGGATTTGGTGTTCATCAAGACATTTCCAGAACAGCATTTGCCTCGCAAGCACCGCCAAAGATCGGTGGTTTGTGACAAGACCTGCATGCAGCAATGTCCCGTTTATATACGAGTATCACTGTTCCAACATTCAACAAATGCACCGCTGGGATTTGCACTGTAATACACAGCCTCTAAAGAAAACTCTGGCATTAAGGCCCAATCCCAATTCTACCCCTTAGCCCTTCCCCTTTCCCCTCCGTTTCGCACGTTCACGTGAAGGGGTAGGGGTGTCTCGATTCTCTTTTGGTTGGAGGGGTAGGGGTAAGGGGAAGGGCCAGACAGCCCTTCCAACGAAAATTTTTCGGGACCACACTTCAAACGAAGGGGTATGAATTATCTCAGCGTAAACCGGCTTCAACGGCAACATGGCTGCCCGAGCGAACAAAGACACACAAATGTAAACATTTTCGGCATTAATAAAAAATTTTACGAAAAGTAGTCATTTGTTTTATGTTACATTCAATCGTGAGTCCATATTTACGGTCATGTTACTCAAAGAAATGTTTGCAAAAAAAATCGCTAATATTTGCCAACTAGCGTCATATTACAGACTGCACGATAGTGCCACAACATACTTTCATGTCTGATCAGGGCGATAACCACCGTAGACATTGAGGGGGGCTAGTCCCCCCAATAATTAGAAATCGCTAAACCCTTTTCTCAAATATTGCCAATTCGAGAGAGAGAGAGAGAGATGAAAGTTGAGTTTATGCACATCTGTGCGTTTCTCTTATTAGAGTGAGTTTACTTCAAAAACAGCGATTTTATCCTCTCGTTGCTGGAAAATATAACGTTCAATATAATATTCAAACTGTTATTAATAAAAGCCGTGGGGCAGCATTGACAAGTTTCTTTGCTCCTGGATGTGTGAGCTGCGCGAT